CAATTTTTTAATATTCCATTTTCAAAAAATCTTTTTTTTTGTTTTCGATTTACATCAATGATTTTTGGTACATACAGAGAGAAAAAATGTCCTGTTATCGATCAAATTTTTGGTTGATGCGCGCAAAAGTTATCGAGGTTCTAATTTTGGGCAAAAAACATTTTAAAAGTACGGAATGGGAAGGAGACTTATTCCTCTCTAGTTGGCACACATGATGCTGAGGTTCCAATCATTGGGAATGCATCCTTCTAGGCAAATTGTACTAATCAGCTTGTACATGCTCCTTACCACCATCTGACCACCAGTCTTGAATAGTTCGGCTTGTAACCCATCGGCACCTGCTGCTTTATTATTCGTCATCCGATTGATTGCTATTTTGACTTCATCTTGGCTAGGTGGTATACACTCTATACCATCATCTATTATTGGTTCTGGGGTATCCTCTTCACCGCTACTATTTGATACCAGAAGTTTTTCAATATGCTATGCTCCTTCCAGATCCTCAGCACACTGTCTGGTTTCCTTCTTCATCTCTATAGTTTTACCCGTTGATAGAATTTTCGGACTTCATTCTGACTCCTGTACATCTCGATTTGCTCACGCTCAAGTTTTTCTTGTTCTTTCTTCTTTTTTTCTGAAAATACGTTTCTATTCTCTCCTTTTCTCCCGATAATTCTCAATCACATTACGTGTTGCTACTGTCCGCAGGGTTGGCCTATACGCTGCGTTTTTTATATTAGTAGTATTACGACGCACCTGATCGTACCACGGATTTTTTGATGGTGGTCTTTGGTACCCAAGTATTACTTTTGCTGCAGTTTGTAGGGACTGGGCAATTCTCTGCCACTGTGCTTCTATATTATTATCAGGACAAGGGGTGCGTGCATTCGTTAAGCAGTTGGGTAAGTTGAGCGGAGTAGGCTTCTGCTATCTGTTGTGTTTGCAGCTTTTCGACGTCAAATTTCCGTGTTACATTAGATCGCACCTTTGCTGCTACATTAAGACGGGTGCGCACCTTGGCTGCCACAAGGAAATGGTCCGAAGCGATATTCGTTCCCCGGACGTCTGGAACACTGGATGAATGCCTTCCGTCTATCACAACATGATCGATTTGATTTCTCGTTGTTCAATCGGCTGCTAACTACCATGGTTTTTGCTGCCGCGAAGTCAATCATCCTCATGCCGTTGTCTGATGTTTTTTCATGGAGGCTGAAATTTCCGACATTGGGGTCAAAAATCCCTTTCCCTTGCGATGTTTGCATTAAAATATCTTAGCAGAATTTTAATGTCATGGTCAGAGCAACGATCATATGCTGTTTCTAGGCGTTCGTAAAATATGTCTTCGATCTGTTCATCTTTATCTTCGATGGGAACATGGGCGCAAATGAGACTGATGTAGAAGAACTTTGCTTTTATACGGATTATAGCAATTCGCTCATCTGCTGGAGTGAATTTGGAGACGAGGTCTTTTATTCTCTTGTTAACAATAAATCCGCAGCCAAATTCATATCTCGTTTCATGGCAGCTATAATACAGGGCGTAATCGTCTGATTTTCTTTCAGATTTCAGATTTGTATATAGCTCTCATATATATTTTCTCCCGATTTTAAGTAAATGGTGCACCAAAATCCTCGTGTTTATCAGATATTTATCCAAATAATCAACGGGTGTCCGATTTATATTTGCTTTAAATTGATTTACATAATTTTGTCCCATTACAACTCTATATCTGACCAAGTGAAAAATTTAGTATAGTTTGCAGAATGACATGTTTATGGATCCAATTTCCTGTAAATGGTCCTTTTAAAAAAGCAATGTCTGTTAGGATGCATGTTCCGACTGTCCGACTTTACTACTTTCCTTACTAGTTAAAGCATATTTTTGATAAATAAGAATCAATTTATTTTTTTTGTAAATAATATATATTTATTTGTATGTTTGTTTTATTTAATAGATAAATTTGTTGAAACAGAGGAAGACTTTATAGTATTGATAAATCAACTCGTAATTATTACGCTCAATATATAGTTAACTAGGCACTACAACTTATACTAAATTTTAAACCAAAACTAGACTCAATATTAAAATATATTAAACATAAATTGAACTTTAATAGAATATATTTTAAAATTTGATTTATTTTAAAATATTGAAAAAAAATAGAAATATTTAAAAATTAAGTTTAACTTAAAATAATGTATTTAAAGTAATACTTTAATTATAAGCTAAAAAATAATAATTGCTAAAATGAAACAAAATTAAAATTCTTATTTTTTTTGTTTCAAGATAAATTTTAAACAATAAGTTGCCAGGGAAGGAAGGTTAATTGGTATTTGAACACTAAGTGTTCAGGCAAGTAAACTTAAAAAAAATAGTTTTTTTTCCAATAAAATAATATACAATTAATTCAAAGCGTTATATATAATTGTTGTAGGGGAATGTAGAAAATTAAAAAAAAAATAATAATAATATTTTATTTTAATTAAATTGTACAATTTTTATAAAACTTAAATTTATGTGGAAGAAAGGGATATTTGTAGGCGGTACGTCAGGAAAAATTTGCATAATTTTTTATTTTTATTTCTTAACTCTATAAATAACTTAAGATATGGATGGAGGGGGAAGGAATGTTTTGTTTTTTGTTTATTGAACAAATTTATATATAATTTACTTTTCAAAAAGCTTGAAAATGTTAAAGGAAGCTCGCAATTACATAGGGTGGAAATATAATTATGATCTTTTATTTCAATATTGGATAACAATATTTGGTCCCACGAAGATCGGATTTGTCGAGAATAGAAGAAACGAGGATTGTTGGAGAATATTTAGTTTATTGAAGGGCATTTTGTAGGAAATTTGTGAAGCTTTTATATTTTTTAATTTATATGCCTTTTTGACGGACCAAGGAATTTCTATAAAAATATTTTTAAGTACCACCCATTCTACAAAAAATTAATATTTTTCGAAGTGCCAATAGAGTTTTCTGTATGTGTTGCATTTTTCAAGAACATCCATAGGTATTTTTAACCATCCATAGGCCTGGGTTTAGAAAAAAAATATATTTTCAAGGCCTAAATTTTTTAAAAATATTTTGGCATACCTTTGGATTTTTAAAAGATTTTTTCAACTACACCCACTGGCCTGGATATTTTTAAAACATTTTTAAGCATTTCCATAAGACTGGATTTATAAAAAAGTTTTCTTTCATAGGCTAGGATTAAAAAATTCACGTATATTAGCAGGCGTATATTTTTTAAAAATATTTTTCCTAGTTCTTTCACAGGCGTGGATTTTTAAACCTTACACAACTTCCACCAAAATGTAACTTTCTGCGGTTCTATATTATGAGCTTGGGAAATATTTCGCGATATTTGCACCTTCTTGACCGACTAGAGGCCAAAAAATCTATTACTAAAATTCAGTACAGTACTTCTGATTACTTGTACACTTCTGATTACTTGGTTCCCTTCATCGTGGGTTGTGTTGTGATGTTCGGCTTTCAAAAAACTCAAAAAAATTATGTTTTCGGTCCACTTCACCCTAAAATTATTATCTGATCATCACTGACAATTTTAGATTGTCCTTGACCATACCTGGATCCTCATGGAACATTCCAAAGCGGTCTGCGCTATATTTTCGCCCTCTAGTGTGGTAATGGTTTATTAAATAAATGGTATCAATTTAAAGGCCAACCACTCCTCTTGGATATATTATCAACTTCTCGGGTCTATGTCCTTCAGGGTAAATATATACGCTATAGAATACAAATTTGATAATTTTTCACACAAAAGTCGGGGTCCATTTGACCCGCTAAATATCGTCCGATCTCTATCAAAACATGCATGCTTAATCTTTAGCCCGATCCCCTTCTCCATGTAAAAATTCGCGATGTTTGGACTATAACTGCGGTCTCTGGAGCGACCAGAAAAACCGACAAAAATTAAGTATTTGGTCCATTTCATCCCCTATATATTAATCGATCTTTACCAAAATTTCGTGAAGATTGGTCCATAACTGTGGCCTGTATCGTGTTTACAAATTATAATGGACAGACGGACGGACACACATGTCTAGATCGACTCAGCTAGTCGAAATATGACCGGTATACTTAAAGGTGGGTCTAGGACCAATATTTCGCGGCGTTACAAACTCTTGGGGCTGCACAAAGCCATAATACCCTGATAACATAGTTGTGTAGGGTATAAAAATTCAAGTATATTCAGAATGGGGGATTTTTTAAAAATATTTTTTCAAATATATGCAGAGGAGTGGAATTTTTAAATAGGCCTGGATTTCAAAAATATTTCCAGAGGCGTGAAATTTGTAAAGACATTTTTTTAATAATAATATATGGATTTTTTAAAAAAATGTTTTTTCAAAATCCAACACATGAGTTTTAAAGTATCAAAACATATCCAGAACTGTCGGATCTTTTGTATATTCGGAAGGACATCCAGCGACTGGTTTGCTTAAAATATTCTTTAAGGTTTATTAGACCTAGGAGTGTGGCTTAAGAATATTTTTCAAGGTTTCAACAGGCAATCGTTTTTCAAAAGACTCTGCAGAGGACATGTCCTATAACTGGAAATATCAGTCTGATATCAGGTTCTGGCCATTAAATAATCAGTTAGTGAATTAAACCTAGAATATTTAATAAGTCAGGAAAGGCCTTAGGACCTGCATTTTATAAATTACAACCCATTCCATTGAAAAAGCGAAGTTAATCCGCCATTCTACCACTGAGACCCAATATTGATTCAAAGTTCCTTCTTATTGATATTTCCCCCATGTAATTGATCTCTCGTTTCAAGTTTTTTTCCTTAAACACAAGACTCAGATCTACAACTAAGCTTAAGCACTAGAATCTTAACCTCACTTATTTAAAATAAAACTAACCTAACTCTTCTTAACTATTTCTTTTGCTCTAATGATTTTCGTTCTCCTTATACTAAAAAAAATATTTGAAAATAAAATTAAAATTTAAGTAGTTTAGTTGTTGTTTAGCGTCTCATTATATCTTCAATGCTGAAACCTGTAGTACGTTTCACTGGAGCAGGAGCCGGGGGTGGTGGTGGAGCAGCAGAAGCCTGATTTGAAGGATCCGCTATTGTCGATTGTTGACTTCTATGTGCCGATGAGGATGCCGATGATGATGATGAGGACGACGACGATGATGCTGCTGCAGATGTCCCTGCTGTCGACGCTACTGGTGAGGATAATGAAGCTGCAGAACTGTTGGAGGAGGAATTCACAGATGTCGCATGATTGGCTGTTGATGAATTACCTTCCATGGGCAGATTACGATTCATATGTTGCTGCATATAGGATTCTGATAAACTCGGCCCCATTGCCTTTTCGGGTCCGGTGCCAACTTGTATGTGATAATTGGTGGGCAGATAGGGACCTGGTTTATTGGTCATACCCGGTGGAGGCGGCGGTGGTCCTAAGTGAGTAGGTGGAACTGTGTTGGGTGTTAATTTTAAAGCTGAGGCGGCAGCAGCTGCACTTTGCAGGGCATGTAAATGCGGTCGAGACATATTTAGGGCATACATATTACCAGCCGAAGCAAATGGTGGCGGTGGTGGCCGTTGGGCCAAGGCATGGGCATGCATGTGTTCAAATTCCATGCCGAGAGCCCTTTTGCGTATGGGTATGGATCCGAGGAATGATGGCACTGCTTCGTGAGGGGAATGTAATGGTGCAGATGGTGGTTGGGATGGCGATGCCGTCGCTGTTTGTTGCGGTGGTTGAGTTCCCAGACTCTTGGATCCATTGTCCATAATGACACCCTGTAACGTGGCGCCACCTGGTGGTATGCCATTTGGTTGTATTTGCACTTTAAGATCGGTGGGTCCATGGGCCATTATACCCGGTTTGGTGCTGTGGAGATCTCTGCGTACATGCAGCAAGGGCATATAAGGGTCATTGCCATCATGCCCCGTGAGAGGAGTACCTGTCATATATCCGGACATACCAGCCGAGGTGCTGGCCATTAAATAATCCGGTGGTGGTGGATTGAGGCCCGTTGGATTACTAAGACCCGATTCTTCACCATTACGTTGGAACTCATGGCTTGGCCTCATTGTGTATTGGGTACCACCCTCATGATGACAGTGGGTAACCCCTTGATATTGATTGTGGCCATCGACCACATCTTCCGATTTACGTTGGGCCTTTTCCATCACCTCTTGTTTGACATTATTTGCTTTCGGATCTTTTTCACTGACATCTTCCTCTTCGTCTTCGTTTTCTTCGGCCAGCTCATCATCAGAATCATCTTCCAAAGCTTCGCGATCGAATTGTGCCTTGCGCTTCAGCGATAAACGTTCCGCCATGGAAATGCGTTGATCCCCCTCCAACTCATCATCCTCATCGTGATCTTGATCCAAATCATGGGTCGGCGAGCCGTGACGTTGTATGGGTGAGTTGCGAGGTGAATCCACCTCCAGGAGAGAATCCTCTTCGTCACCACTTAAATTGCGGCCATTGTCATCTTCTTCCTCCACCACATCAACATATTCACCGGGTACATCACCTACAGCATGGGTGAGGGTATGACGTCGTAGATCGCAATTACGTCGGAACACCTTGCCACAGGAGTTACATTCGTAAGGCTTGTGATCGGTGTGGGTTAGAAGATGGGTCTTCAAATTCGATCTCTGATTAAAGCTGCGACTACACACAGGGCATTTGTGTGGGGACTCTTCCATGTGCAAAATTTTGTGGACGGCCAGTGTGCGGGATTGACAGAAACCCTTGCCGCATTCGGTACACTTGAATGGTTTTTCCTTGGAATGTATGTATCTGGCAAAAAGGGAACGGAGAGAGGGGAGTTAAAATAAATTTAAAAATTATCAAGGAGTTTGAGGTTTACTCACCTATGATCCCTCAAATGGTCTTGACGCCTAAAAGCCTTGCCGCATATATCACACGAATATGGCCGCTCATCGGTATGGGTGCGTTCGTGTATCAACAAATTATATGACTTTGTAAATTGACGATTACAAAATTTACAAATGAATTGTTTTTTGGGTCTCGAGGCACGTCCAGGTGCTCTCAGCAGACGCCGATCCAGGCCAGCATGCATTGAAGGCGGCAGGCCGGGTGGAAACAGAGCAGCAGCACCCGAGGGGAATGTAAAACTGCCAGCTCCCGTTGGAGATGGTCCTGGACCAGCCAGATATGGTGGAGGATACATTACCGAACCTGGTACACCTGGCGGTGGACCTTGTCCTGGTCGGGGCATTAACATGGCTGCTGCCACCGCCGCCTCTCTTAAAGCTAACTCTTTACGTTTATCGGCCATCATGGCCATAATTTCAAAATTTGAACCCCGCTTAGGGTCCTTATTGGGATCGCCGTCCATCATGCTGCCATAGAGGGAGCCAGGCGCCCTCAATGGATTCCGATGTGAGGGTAAAACGGGCACAAAGGCCGAATTGGAGGGATTTGTATTGGACATTTTGTTGATGTCACACACACAGGAACTATGCCGTTTTGCGATTCTGCTTCTTCAAATGCAAATTTCAGGTGGTTAATAGAGATCAGAGAGTTTTTTTCCGATTACCAGCTAGGCTTCAGATTTTTATTGTTTGTAGTTTGTTTGATCTCCTCTTGACATAATTCAAAATGTCACATGCTGACTGTCTTCGAAATTAGGTGGGTGGGTGTGCTCTGTTATCCGCTGACGAACTGTAATTAGACACAATAAAAAATACAATTTTTTTGTTAGTTAGATAACTACAATAGTTTTTTTTTCTGGAAATAAAGAACAGGAGCCCGTTATGGGTATTAAGATAAACTGTTGAACCGCCAGAAAAAAATATTCGGGATTTATGAGACATTGTAAACAATTAGAACGAAGTGAGAATTTTGATCTAATCTAAATTGTTTCCTGGTGCTAGTCGTTCGCAGGGTTATGTTGTTGTTGTTGTTGGTGGGTAATAATTTGCTTTCTTAGTGTTTTTGTTGTTTGCTTTTATATTCCATAAAAAATTACAAAGTCATTGTGAATATTTCCATTTTTTATCTTAATTTATATTTTGTTGCCTGTGCGGAGAAATTTAATATCAGTTGATTTTTTCAACAACCGTTGTGGATTTTTTAAAAATATTTTTTTCAAGCATTTTAACAGGCGTGGATTTTTTAAAGAATATTTTTTTAATGGCCAATACAAGGCGTGGATTTTTTAAAGAATATTTTCTTAAGGACCAATACAAGTCGTGGATTTTTTAAAAAATATTTTTTTAAGGACCAATACAAGGCGTGGATTTTTTAAAGAATATTTTTTTAAGGACCAATACAAGGCGTGGATTTTTTAAAGAATATTTTTTTAAGGACCAATACAAGGCGTGGATTTTTTTAAGGACCAATACAAGGCGTGGATTTTTTAAATAATATTTTTTTAAGGACCAATACAAGGCGTGGATTTTTTAAATAATATTTTTTAAGGACCAATACAAGGCGTGGATTTTTTAAATAATATTTTTTTAAGGACCAATACAAGGCGTGGATTTTTTAAATAATATTTTTTAAGGACCAATACAAGGCGTGGATTTTTTAAATAATATTTTTTTAAGGACCAATACAAGGCGTGGATTTTTTAAATAATATTTTTTAAGGACCAATACAAGGCGTGGATTTTTTAAATAATATTTTTTTAAGGACCAATACAAGGCGTGGATTTTTTAAATAATATTTTTTTAAGGACCAATACAAGGCGTGGATTTTTTAAAGAATATTTATACCCTACACAACTATGTTGTCAGGGTGTTATAGCTTTGTGCGGCCCCAAGAGTTTGTAACGCAGCGAAATATTGGTCCTAGACCCACCTTTAAGTATACCGATCGTCATATCTCGACTAGCTGAGTCGATCTAGACATGTGTGTCCGTCCGTCTGTTCACTATATTTTGTAAACACGATACAGGCCACGGTTATGGACCAATCTCCACGAAATTTTGCATGTAGGATGGGTTCTGGCGATGAAGACCCCTATTGTTTTTGGTAAAGATCTGTTAATATCTAGGGGATGAAATGGACCAAATACTTAATTTAATCGGGTTTTCTGACCCAAACATCGCGAATTTTTACATAGAGAAGGGGATCGGGCCAAAGAATAAGCATGACTGTTATGATAAGGATCGGTCAATATTTAGCGGGTCAAATGGACCCAGACTTTTGTGGAAAAAATGACAAAATTTGTATTTTGTAGCGTATATATTTACCCCTGAAGGAGATAGACCGAGATGTTCATAGTATATCCAAGAGGAGTGGTTAACATTTAATTTATTACCAATTATGTTGTCGTAAGTACTCGGATATGGGAGTTACACTTAAATATTTACAGGAGCTTACGTATTCAGATATTAATTAGTAACCCTTTACCACACTAGAGGGCGGAAATATAGCGTTGATCGCTTTAAAATGTTCCATGAAGTTCCTGTTATGGTCGAGGATAACGCCTACAATTTTCGGTGACGATCAGATAATTATATTGTGATGAAGTGGACCGAAAACTTAATTTTTTGTGTTTTTGTTTTGAGTCGATCTATAGGCTCCAATGGGAATAAGAAGATCACACCACAAGGAAAGGGAATCTGGACAAATAATGAGAAAGGCTGTACTGAACATTAGTAATAATTGTCGGTCTCTAGTTGGTCCAGATGGTTCAAATATCGCGAAATATTGCCCAAGCTCAGAATATAGATCCACAGAATGTTAGTTTTTCGTGGAAGTTGTGTAGGGTATCATATGGTCGGCCCCGTCCGACTATAATGCTCCGCTCACTGGTTTTTCGTATATTTTTAAATATTTTTCATAGGGATGGTTTTTTTTTAATATTTTTTCTTAAGCATGAATTTGTTAATTTTTTTTAAAACCTGGATTTTTATATTTTTTCACAATCGTGGATTTCTTACAAATATTTTGTCCATCATCCAACACAAGCATGGATTTTTCTTCAAATTTCAACACAATTGGTAGCCTACTAAGATCTTGGTTGTCTCATACAAGTCCAATTTGTCGTCACATATTTGGAGCATTCGTCGTCTTATAGGTCTTATAGAAGTCCAATGGGTCGTCTCATAGAATACCAATTCGTCATCTCATAAAAGACAAAATATTGTATTATATAGACTTTTAAGACCCTTATCATAAAGATTATGACGACGGTTAAGATCGGGATTCAAATCGTATTTGGAGACAAATTTTTAGATGGTATATAAAAAGTAAATTTTTAAAGTATATTATTTCCTGCCTATTTGGTCCTTTGATCTGCAAGATTTTTCAGATTAATCGATTTTTTCAATGTTCCTCTTATCATATCCATGTTTTTTATCTCCAAGCAAACACCCCATTTACTTACTTCCAAAAAATATACTTTTAACTACCATTGATCAATAAAAAATAACCAACCAACCAATTTCCAGCGAATTCCATTTGTGTCTGGGCAAATAGCAAACATTTATTTAACCTCATCATACCCCCCGATACACATTATCCTCCTTCCCCACCATCAACTCTCATATCACATATGTTTATGGCCCAGTGGTGCTGTTGTTGTTATTTTTATCTGCTTTTTAGAGTTCCAACCGACTCTAGTCCTAATATTTACCATCATTGCGCTGATAACTGCCGACTTGTATGGCGTATCGCCTCTACTACCAATAATAAAAAAATAATAATTTCTATTTGGCAGAATCGAAGAAGACGAACTACTCGAACACATAGCTCACGAGTCAGGTTGGAAAGGGCAGAGCTGCTGCTGCTGGTGCTGTTGCCTCGTAGCTTGAACTACTACTGTTTGCTAACACACAACAACAGCAACAACAACAAACAGTACTGAATAGAAATTCTGAAAAAGAAACGGGGGCCACCAACAATGCCAGCTCAGCATTTATCTTCCAAACAATCATTGCCAACATCAACACCACCACCACCAACCTGGCGAGGCTTGTTGACACATTAGCTGCACACGTGTATGGCTGTGTGTGTCTGCACGTTCGTTTGCTTTTTACTTTGTAGCATTGTTTGAAGGTAGAACTATTGTTTGCCTATTTTTTGTTGTGTTATCAGACATTGAGTCGCTTGGGCCATAAAACAATAGAAATGGAACTTTTTATCTAGGTGTACATGGTACACACATGGACACACATAGCTCGATATCGTTCCATGGAGCGATGCTTGCTTTCATGATCAGGCAACAAAACTAATTTAATAATTGAAAATTCTCGTCTAAGATGGCTTCTGGTAGGTCTATAAATATCTGAATGTTATACTTATAGACGAACAAGAAATTGTCAAAAATACGAAATGTGGGACGTCGATCAAGACAGAAACTTTCCCAAACGTCTGAAATAGAGGTCGATAAGACTTCAACGAGACTTCGTGGTCTTTAATGAGTCCAACAATTGGTCTTCTATGAGACGACCAATTGGTCTTTTATAAGTTCTTTGACCAGTTGGTTTTCTACGAGACGACCATTTGATTTTCTTTGAGACCAACCGGTCCTCTATGTGACGACTAATTGGGGGATCGAAAAGTCGATTCCCATAGAGGGATCATATGATACCCTACACAACTTCCACGAAAATCTAACTTTGTGTGGTTCTATATTCTGAGCTTGGGCAATATTTTCCGATATTTGCACCGTCTAGAGGACAACAGATATTACTAATATTCAGTACAGCCCTTCTAATTACTTATCCAGATTCCCTTCACCGTGGATTGTGTTGTGATCGACTAAAAAACACAAAAAATTATGTTTTCGGCCCACTTCATTCCAATATTATTATCTGATCATCACGAAAATTATAGGCGTTATCCTTGATCAGTACTATATTTTCGCCCTCTATTGTGGTAATAGGTTACTAAATAATATCGGAATACGTAAGCACCTGTAAATATTTAAGTGTAACTTCTACATCCGAGTACATACGACAATATAATTTAATTGGTATTAATTTAAAGGTGAACCACTCCTCTTGGATATACTATCAACTTCTCGGGTCTATGTCCTTTAGGGGTAAATATATACGCCATAGAATACAAATTTTGTCCTTTTTCACATTTTCCGCTTTGACCCCATAAATATTGACCGATCTTTACCAAAATAGTCATGCTTATTCTTTGGACCGATCCCTTTCTCCGTGTACAATTTCACGATGTTCAGGCCATAATTGCGGTGTCTGAAGCGACCAGAAAAAAACGACAAAAATAAAGTTTTTGGCCCATTTCATTCCCTAAATATTAACCGATCTTTACCAAAAACAATAGGAGTCTTCATTGGCCAGAACCCATCCTGCATGCAAAATTTCGTGAAGATTGGTCCATAACTTTGGCCTGTATCGTGTTTACAAATTATAATGGACAGACGGACGGACACACATGTCTAAATCGACTCAGCTAGTCGAGATATAACGATCGGTATGAATAAGGTGGGTCTAGGACCAATATTTTCCGG